ATCTCTCATGCTAACCAGCCTCACATGATAACTAAATATACTGTCCTTGAGCTTCTTGGAGGAAAAGTAGGATACAAGTGTATTTTTTAAAAAAAATAACCAACCAATCTGTTAATTAGTATATGAATGATGTCCCAAATTTCCATAATGCTTCCAGCCCTGCTCCTTTTAAGTTTGAAGGATTGTTTTATTGAGTGTGCAGGAACCAGATTTTGGTTTGCTTGCTTGCTTCTTTGTTTTTGTTTGAAAGATTTAGATGCCACACTTTTAGAAGAGCTTTCAGGATGGCCCACAAAAGCAAGGTAAGATTTGTTAATAAAATGCATTACAATTATTAATGTTTGCATTTATATGCCATTTTTCCTCCAAGGAGCTCAAAGTGGCATACATGGTTTACCCCCTCTCCATACCATGACTGGCTCAAGGCCACACAATGAACTTCATGACTTAGTGGGGATTTGAACCCTGATCTCCAGTGTCCTAACCTCTACCCTCTATGCTATGCACTGGCATAGGCTATAGATGGTTATCCATAACGTACACCATACATGTTGTAGGATATCTCGCTCTGGAACCCAAATAACATTCCTTAATTTACGATTGCATTCAAGGGGTGTCAATTGTATTCAATTTCTGTGGGCTAAACCAGCCACATATAACCAACATGCTTTAGTCTAATTAATGCATGAAGGGGTTCATAAAGTAAGCTGTCCTGCTGGGCTTAGCCTATGTCACTTCCCCTCACTTTAGGAGGAAATAGCTAAACAAGCCTTTGTTCCTGATCTACATGTGAACTTTGGTGTGTGAGGAGCTGTGAGCTGATCCCCCAAGCCACATGGCTTTAACCCATCACCTTTGTTCCAGGCAAGAATGTGGTCCAAAACTAGCATTTTCCTATAGCAATAGTTTAGGAGCTTTTATCATTTTGTAACCAATATATGTTTGACTGCCTGCGCAACTTCTTCTGACTACTGTATGGAAAAGAACATGAATCTGAACTTTGGAGGGTTTGTAAGTAAACCATTTTATAAGAAGAAGAAGAAGAAGAAGAGTTTGGATTTGATATCCCGCCTTTCACTCCCTTTAAGGAGTCTCAAAGCGGCTAACATTCTCCTTTCCCTTCCTCCCCCACAACAAACACTCTGTGAGGTGAGTGGGGCTGAGAGACTTCAAGGAAGTGTGACTGGCCCAAGGTCACCCAGCAGCTGCATGTGGAGGAGCGGAGACGCGAACCCAGTTCCCCAGATTACAAGACTACCACTCTCAACCACTACACCACACTGGCATGTGATCTTTTCCTATGCTAGAGGAAGTGAGATAATTTGGAAATAACTCTGAAAAGGGGATGTTTTGCAGTTCACTAAAAGGGCATCACCTTGCCAACAAAGGTCCGTATAGTCAAAGCTATGGTTTTCCCAGTAGTGAAGTATGGAAGTGAGAGCTGGACGATAAAGAAGGCTGATCACCGAAGAATTGATGCTTTTGAATTATGGTGCTGGAGGAGACTCTTGAGAGTCCCATGGACTGCAAGAAGATCAAACCTATCCATTCTTAAGGAAATCAGCCCTGAGTGCTCACTGGAAGAACAGACTGTGAAGCTGAGGCTCCAGTACTTTGGCCACCTCATGAGAAGAGAAGACTCCCTGGAAAAGACCCTGATGCTGGGAAAGATGGAGGGCACAAGGAGAAGGGGACGACAGAGGACGAGATGGTTGGACAGTGTTTTCGAAGCTACCAGCATGAGTTTGACCAAACTGCAGAAGGCAGTGGAAGATAGGAGAGCCTGGCGTGCTCTGGTCCATGGGGTCACGAAGAGTCGGACACGACTAAACGACTAAACAACAACAACAAAAGGGAACATTTTAAGGTTTTACAGCTTTTATCTCAACACTTTTCTTTGCTCCTATTTTGCCATGTGAAATCTCTGCTGGGGTTCAGTCCCCTAACTTGAATCTTGGCATGCAGAATTTCTACCAATTTCCACTTTCAAAAGACCTCAAAATGACCCCTGTAGCACTGTGTTAACATTTCTACTAGAAGTAAATTAATCAATATGGGCCTGCAATATGGGAGAGGATTATGTCACATCCCACCATGCTGGGAAGTCATTCTCCCACCCCCGCCTCAAGATGTTCTCACTGACAAATACCAGATGCTGACAATCTTAGCTATTGACTCAGCAATTCCTCCTAAGACAGTGAATCTGTGTAAGTTCAACAATGTTTTAAGCTTTCAATTTAGAATATTATTCTGCAAAGAAACAATAACAACTGTTATTTGCCTTCTATCTTTGGGTAAAGAATGAGCCACCAAAGAAATGATTAATGGGTGCTGTACCTTCTTGTTCTTTGCTGGAAACCACAGGAGGTGAGACTGCTCTTGTGGTCAGGACCTGCTTGTGGGTTTCTTGTAGGCATCTGGTTGGCCACTGTAAGAACAGAATGCTGAACAAAATAGGTCATTGGCCTGGTCCAGCAGGCTTTTCTTTTGTGCTTATGGTGTAGCTATGAAAGCATTGATTTTTGAACTTTAAGCAATGGAGAGCTTCTTTTATGGGGTCCCCTTCCATGTCTACAACCCTGCCTGCCCTGGCCAGAGCCGGGCTCAGGGCGGCTAATACCAGTAAAATTACAATAAATAAATAAATAAATAAATAAATAAAAAATACAGGTTGAAATATAATTTAAAATGCAGCCTCATTTTAATAGTAGCCCATAGATCAAAACCATAAGGGGGGGGGGGACATAAGGGTCAGACTGAGTCCAAACCAAAGGTCAGACAGAATAGCTCTGTCTTGCAGGCCCTGCGAAAAGATGTCAGGTCCTGCAGGGCCCTAGTCTCTTGTGACACAGCGTTCCACCAAGTCGGGGCCAGTACTGAAAAGGCTGTGGGCCTAGTTGAGACCAATCTAACCACCTTGAGACCTGGGACCTCCAAAGTGTTGTCATTTGTGGACCTTAAGGTCCTCCGTGGGGCATACCAGGAGAGACGGTCTCATAGGTACTAGGTATGTTCATTCAACCTTTTTTCTGCACTGGACAATATATGTAGTTTGGACAGGGAAATCAGGCCTCCTAAACCCAGTACTGTGCAGCCAACTGGCCCTGGTGAGTTCTGGCTGAAAAGAAGAGCCCTGAGTATCACTGAGTTTAACTACAGAAACTACATTAACCACCACTGCCCTAATTACCGTATTACTATATGATCCAGCTGTAGGTTGCAGGTTTGATCCCCATGTGGGACAGCTGCATGTTCCTGCATTGCGGAGGGATTGGGCTAGATGATCCTCAGGGTCCCTTCCAACTATAGAATTCTATGATTCTATAAGCAGTCCTTTAGAAAACCAGGTCTTAGACTGTTTTAAAAGTCAAAGCCAGCACCTCAAATTTAACCCAGTAATATCAGTACCAGTGTAGCTGCTGTAGGATAGATCTCTATGCTGTGATCACTTTGCTCCTACTAACATAACAGCAGTTTCAGTTATAGGTTTCAGATCTCTGCTCTTTGCTGTTAATCTTTGTCTAGTCTCTGGCCTTTCAAACCCAATTCTATACATGTTTACTCCTTCATTTACTGGACTTCTCCCCATATTGCAATCTGAATTAAAAAGATGACCAATTTAATTTTTAGAGCAAAAAATTTGACCTTCAGATCAAGCAGTCCAATGGGGAAAATAGAAATATTTCCATTTTGATTCAGATTTAATTCCTTTCTGCCAATGCATTGTAGAACCAAGATGATCATGGGTCTGGAAACCATGTTTTATGAGGAATGGTTAAGGGGGCTGGGTATATTTAGCCTGGAAAAGAAAAGAATGAGAGGAGATATGATGGCCATCTTCAAATATCTAAATGGCTGTCACATGGAAGATGGAACCAGCTTGTTTTCTCCTGCTCCAGAGGGTAGGATCCAAAACAATGGCTTCAAGTTACAAGAATAGAGATTCTGACTAAACAATCAGGAAGAACTTTCTGATTGTAAGAGCTGTTCAACAGTGGAATGGACTCCATCAGAAGATGGTGGACTCTCCTTACTTGGAGGTTTTTAAGCAGAGTTTGGATAGCCATCTGTCATGGATGCTTTAGTGGAGATTCCTTCATTGCAAAGGATTGGACTAGATGAAGCTCAGGGTCCCTTCCAACTCTACAATTCTATGATCCTGCAATTCTACCCATAGGTTTTGTATCCAAGTAAGAGCAACAAGCAAAATGTCACATAATGACTGCATATATTCTGGTTGGTGAACACTGACAGGAGATTTTTTTTTGCAGATCAAGAGTTGCTTTCGAAAGCTACAGTGGAAGAGTTTTGCATGAAAATAAATTTCAGAGTTGAGTAGTTAGTCCGCAATCATGCAAAGGCAAAATCTGTCACTTAATTTGTCACTGGCAACATATTTACTTAGTTCAGTTCTGCTAAATGAGACCCAGCTGCGCTGATAGAACAGGCTTTGAGAAGAAAAGAAGGAGGTGAAGAAAGGAGGTCCATGAGAAATCATGCCTGACGCAAAAGTACAAAGCAGTGTGATTAAAATTTGCTTATACAACAGAGTGGAAAAATTCCAAACCAAAAACGTTATGGATGGTGAGATTCAAATTAAAATGTTCCACTCTAATGGAAATGTTAAATATGAATGAGACTAAAGATGCCTCTAGAGAGTCCAGTTTCATTTGTACGAGCATGTTCAGGTCCTAAAAGCAGGAAATAGGGACTGAAAGACAAGCTATCATTTTCTCAAGTACTGGTGATCTGGGTTTCTTTGGATACCAAAGGAGGAAAGAGCATGTATGAAGTTGCATTGACCATGTCAAAAGTCTGGTTGGTTGGAGAAGAGGTTAAAAGAAATCACTTTCCTGAAGGTTGTTTATCAAAGGTGAAGCCAGCAGGAGAAGCATACAGGGACAGAGACCATTGTTTGCTACTAAAGTAGAATAGAATTACAGAGTTGGAAGGGACCACAAGGGGCATCTAGTCCAACTCCCTGCAATGCAGGAATCTCTTGCCCAATGTGGGGCTTGAACCCACAATCTTCAGATTAAGTGTCTCATGCTCTACCAACTGAGCTATCCCAGGTGCATACTTCTTTTGCATGCATATAGGAAATCCCAGGTTCAATACCCAATATCCCCAGTTGAAAGGATCAGGTAGTCAGCGATGGAAAAGACATTTGCCCAAGACCTTGGGAGCTGCTACCTGTCAGAGTAAACCACATTAGATGGGTGGGCACATATAAATAGTCTAGCCTGGAATGAAGCAGCTTCCTATGTAACACCATAGAATAGAATATGGGTACTAGAATGCATGAATGATAAGTTAAGGGTGGGGGCGTAGAATGCCAGGAAAGAGCAAAATGATTAGCAAGTCAGTTGGTGACAGTTAGAGGAGAAGAAATCCAAGAGAGGACTGCAGGAGTAGAGGAAGGAAAAGCAGAGGAGAGAGAGGACATCAGGGAGAAGGAGGGTGGAAGCAGAACAACAGAACAGATTCTGTTACAAGAACATTATCCAACTAGCAACTGATAACAGACACTATTCTTGCTGAAACAACTTTTTTTGACAGGGGGTAGGTTTTCTTTATGTTTAAGCTTGTTCATTGTTACTACTGTAAGTTGATTATTTGCTTTACTATTTTCAGACGTTGTAGTTTTGTTTTGTTTTGTTTTGTTTTGTTTTGTTTTGTTTTGTTTTGTTTTGTTGAACATCCTATATAGGCCAAAGCTTGAATGTGAACCTGCAATTTGAAATTGCACCTGTCATGCATTGACATGACTAATACTGAGTGGTGACAATATTACTAAGCAAATGTGTGCTAGTCAACAACTTGGAGATGGGCCTGAGAGAGCTCAGATGTATGTATGTATGTATGTATGTATGTATTTAATTTACATCCTGCCCTTCCTCCCGAAAGATCCTTTGGGTGGCTCAGGGTGGAATTTTGATTATGCAGTGGCGAAACTGATACAATATAGCAGTTAAGAGCATGATCTGTGAATAAGACAGTCCCCAGTTCAACTTTATGCTAATTCATGAAGTCACTAGATGGCCTTAGGAAATCCACTATGACTCCGCCATTTGCAATATGGGTGTAGTAACATTCCAGCTTGAAGATGGGGTTGCCGTATTAGTCTGCTGCAGCAAAAAGTAGCACCTTGAAGACTATTATGGCATGGGGCTTATGCCATAAACTTTTGTGGCCTACAGCCCACTTCATCAGATGTATGATATGTTATTTTGAGATACAAGTACATATATATACGGGATGGGGGGTGGGGGCTGTAAACAGTGAGGACAGAGAAAAGTGCACGGTGAATGTGAATGGTGGCCATTCACAAAATCACTATGCAATCCTATACATGTCAACTCAGAAGTAAATCCATTGGCTGGAATTTGAAGTTGTGCTATGGAGATTGCTCCATCAACATGAGTATTTATGCTTGCCTGGTGGAACAATCTCCTCTCCCCCCCCCCCCCATGCAGTATGAGCAGTATGTCAGTCACTACTGATACTTTCTCTTTTTTTCACAGAAGAAAATAGGAAGGAATGCCATTGCTTCTTTGGCTTGGGCTTTGGGGCCTCATCCAGCTGTCAGGAAGTGACCAGGTTTCTTCTGTTTCGACAAATTGTTCAGAAACAAAAGTAAGTGTTTTCTGCCACACGTATTGACCTGGGGCAGAAAAGGCACTGCCTCTCTACAAACCATGGCTTGCAAATTAAACACCAGCCCCCAGAAACTCCGCTTTCTGGTACAAATTCCTCCCTCTCTTCTCTAGTTTGCTATACCCACAAGCCAGAGGATTTGTGTTGTGAACCACGGCCAGTGCTTACAAGGTCACCTCATGGTTTGTCAACCAACCTCAAAATATACCGTGGACCAGAGCTTTCCAAACTTTTCATGCTGGTGACACACTTTTTAGACATGCATCATTTCGCAACACAGTAGTTCAGTTTTACTAGCAAACCAGAGGTTAAACTAACTCCTTTCCAGCCCCAAAAGGAGCATGCGACACACCTACACACTGCAGCCGACACACAATGTGTCGTGACACACAGTTTGGAAAGCTCTGCCTTAGACACTGGTCAAGTAAAACAAGCCTGCTCAACACAGAGTATTGTTATGTACTATGAATATATAAATCTGAGCCACGGGGGAGAGAATTTACTGCCACAAGCTGTGGATAGCCACCAATTCATAGGACTGCCAATGGTGATTACAAAAGATCATGGAAGATAGCTCTGAACTCTGAGCTCCACATTGATAGCTCAATGTAAATTCCATGGTAAAAGCAGTATGCCAATTATACCTCTGAATAACAGTTGCAGGGAGGGCAAACAGAGCTGTCACTTTTAAATGCCACTTGTATAGTTTCTAGAAGCATCTTGAAAGCACTTGGAAACAGAAGGATGGACTAGATCAGGGGTTGGCAAGGCTTACCGGCCATGGGCCGGATCACTCCCCCGGAGATCGTCCGTGGGCCGGGCCGGCACAGTGTGACACCGAAAATCACGTCTGCACATGTCTGTGGCACTGGAAATTGCTTCTGCGCATGCCCAGACGCCAAAAAACGCACCTGCGCGGAAGTGATTTTTGGCATCTGGGCATGCGCAAAAGCAATTTCCGGTATCTGCGCATGCACAGACATGATTTCCGGTGCCGCTTGGCGAGTCCCTGTGCCGCAGGCGGCTCGGTTTGGTTTGGGGGCAGCTCCTGGGCTGGTAAAACGGTCTTTGTGGGCCAGATCCGGCCCATGAGCCACATGTTGCCAACCCCTGGACTAGATTACTGATTATCAACTAGTGGGTCAGTGCCTACTAGTGGGTTAAGACCTGATCTAAGGTGGTTCACAACAGGAGAACTACCACCATGCAAATATATGGTAGAAAATTAAGAAGGGTTTGGGTTAAAAGTGGGTCCTGGGTCTGGATACCTTTGATGGACCTTTGATCAGATCTTCTGTTTGCATGCATTCCTGAGAGAGGAATATATGCCAGTTAAGTTAGGGAGGATGTTGTGCTTTGCTGAGCCTGGCTCACTGTTTGCAAGCTACACTTTGCAAAGAGGTGATATAGCACCTGCACTGGGTAACACACATGGCCAGCTTCCTTCCCCATTCATTGTGAATTGACTTTCAGCATTCAGTTTCAATTTTTAATTGTTGGCATTTGTCTCTTTAGGAGGACTTCCTTCTTCCTTCAGCTAACAGGACCATATGTGGAAGAGGCCAGCATCTAAGAAGTGGTGGTTTGAATATGACTGTACTGAACGCAACACATCTTCCCACTGAATATTTGCAAGTTTTAGAAAATATTCCCTGTCCATGTGAGCACACAAAGAGCTTTCTGACATGCTTATTACAAGATCGTATGATTGCTCGTTTCATTATCTTCATTTTCATGCTTTGGCTTTTTGGGAACAGAACCATCTTCTTCTTTCTCCTCTTCCGTATTAGAAAGACTTTCTTCACTGTCTACATCTGGAATTTAGCTGTAGCTGATTTTGGTGCTCTGTTAGTTCTGTGCAGTATCTTCATATTCTTTTGCACTTGTGAGGATTCGAGTGATGCTCTTGTTAAATTGTTCCTGTTACTGGCCTACCTATTTTTCTTCATGCAAGGTACTAGCATGCATTTCCTAATATCCATCAGCATTGATTGGTTCTTGGCTGGCCTCTTCCCTATTTGGCACCGACGTCACAGTCCAAAATATTTGTCTGTTCTCCTATCTGCCATTGTGTCTGCTCTTCTCTGGGCTCTGTCTTGCTGGCTGTTACTGTTTTTCAATTTGGGGCTTGACCCGCAGTCAATCATTATCATCACCTTAATGATCTTTGCTCCGCTAATGGTCATCTCCACCCAGACACTGGTCATCAAGATCTGGCGCAACTTAGGTGAGCAAGGAGAACCTTGCACAGAAATTTTGCTTGGGATGTTTTTCTCCCTTGTCACTTGGGCCCCCCTGAATTTGTTCTTTGCCTTGCACCGTGATTTTGCAACCATCTCTTCATTGGCTTTCGTGTTCACTTCTCTGAGTGGCACCATCAACCCAGTACTTTACATTCTCATTGGGCAAACACTTCTTTCTGATTCAGGAAGTCTCATGTTGTACTCTAGGTGGGTTCCAAGGAGGGGAGGGGAAATCCACTAAGAAAATGAGAGACTTGCCATTTTGAGGTGGGGATGAATAATGGTGAGGAACTCTAGGCAACAGATACCCCCCCTTTTTTTTTTAGAAGAAAGAAAGTCTGTATTGGTTCTTAAGGTCTTGATGGGTTAAAGCTATACCAAGATGAATAAAGTGTGCCTAAAGAATATTTACTTGATAAATAAAAACTACTGTATGGCATGCACCTTGTTTCACTTATTTAGAAGATACCTTGGAATGGATGATAGTCCTAATTTGTAACTGGGTTAGCCCTTCCTCTGCTTAGCTCAAAGGCAGGAACCTTTGATTCAAGTAAAGAATCCATGCCCCCCCCATGTACTATCAGAGCCCCCAAGAAATGACATAGAGACTTCAGAGAGAAGTCAACCTATTCCTGTTTGACAAAGAGAAAAAAGCATGCCAAATACCTGTACCTATAATGTGGATAAAAGTTCTGGGTTCAGTTAAGAGTTTGGGGGCCCTTAGAGGTTACAGCACTGATTGGTAGAGTGTGTGCTTTGTATGAAGAAAGACCCAGATCCATCCATATCATGGATAGCTCAGTAAGCAGAGCGTGAGACTTAATCTCGGGGTCATGGGTCCCTTCCAACTTTACAATTCTGAAATTCCATGAAAAGGATTAGGTCACAAGTGATGGGAAAGACCTTTTCTGGAAACACTGGATAGCCACCTGCAGTCAGAGCAGATAAACCTTGCCTAGGTAGACAAATAGCCTGCTGTAATGTCATGAGACAGCTTCCTGTGTGGTTCATATGCCAGTGGCGTAGTATCCCAGGGTCACAAAGAGGGTGTTTGAAAGCCCATTACTATTTTGGCAGCAGAGCCTGTCTCCAATATCCTAGAGCTGCTCAATAAGCATGAAAGGGGGGCTATTTACTGTGTACTCCAATGCTAAGCACAAGGTGCTTCAGTTTCAAGACAATGCTGGGCAAGTTTGGTTACGTACAATGGAATTTCATGGAAAACACAACTTAAGTCACTCCAAATTGTGCTATTGGAGCATTCCCAATCATTTGCCTGTGTGTGTGTGTGTGCGCGTGCGCGCGTGCGTGTGCATGCACACGCATTTAAGGCAACACATGGAGATCTGTATTGATTGTTGCAGTGCACCCCTAGTTTTTATTGCCATATGATTATGAGATTATTGCATAATCTTAGGAGGCTATGTAATTTTAGGAGTGTGGCTTTGAGGGGGAGTGGCTGTGACAATCACAAAGGGACCCTTCACACCTGAATTTGCCACTACACTACTGAGGCTAACACCTCAGTTCATTACAGGCAAAAGGAAGTTAGCATGTCAGCATGTAGTTTCCATAGATGTCAGCGCCTGGCAGACAGTCCCCATCAAAAACATTACCACTCTGTATTCAGTCAGGGAAAAGAATGAAGCAGCAGGAAGCAGAGAGCAGACAATAGCTCAGAAACTGACAAGAGTATTAAGAGAACTGACAATCTGAGTGCCAATGTCATTCTCCGAACATGCAGGGCACCGGCCGCGACACTAGGAGTACAGACTAGGACTAGGTACAATGGTAGCCAGCAGCATGGACAGAGACCAAGAGGCCACATCAGAGGACAGATGATATGAAGAGACAGGAGGGTCATGCAGGTCCTCCTGCACCCAGTAGCAATTCGTCATTCAAACACCACTGGTGTCGGGCACACAGCAAAAACTCAAGTGCATGAAGTGATAAGAAAGATTGGTGTTATTACAAGTGGCACCTGCAAGCAAATGTTTCAGTTGATACTTGAACCTGGGCACTGGAGAGGAGTATTTCTGTGCCCTTCCTCCTGGTTTGGAGGAGGACAGCAGGAAAATCTGTCAGATCCAGTGATGAGGCTCTAACAGGGGATGGTTTCCCCATGTTGCAAGGAATTCAAAGGCTAGGTGCCAACAGGCCTCAGTCTGCCTGGATGAGGGAAGCATAATGCACAGCTCCCAGGTATTAATTTGTGTGTGTGTGTGTGTGTGTGTGTGTGTTGTCCCCACTGAGTACTCCAGCAACTTCCAGGAGCCCGTCAAGAGCCTGAATGGGTTGGGGATGGACAAATCTGTCAAATCTGGTTTCTCTTATTCTCCCATTTTTCCATTCCTAAATTCAGTTCTCCACATTTCCATATCAACTTTTTGTTTTTTAAAGGAAGAAAGCCCTCATGAAAATTCCTCAACTAATTTCTCCTCATATACATATTTTTGTACGTATGCATATACATACATTAGCTGCTGGTGTGGTTATTTTGACTGATTTTAATTGTATTTATACTATTGTTTTTGTTTTTAAATCAGTATAAGCTGTCTTGGGATGGTTTCTTTCCTTGAAAGCTAGAGCATAAATGTATCTGATGAATGAATAAAGCATTGCTCACTCTGCTGTCCTTATCCATCTACATACATCTAATGACCCACAAACAAATATTTGCAGTTCCTTACCTTAGATTCTTTGTGAAGACTTCTCTTCCCATACTTAATCACATTTACTCAGAAGGAAGCCTTATTGATTCCACTGTCAGTATATTTTGGATTGCTGCTATAATAACCTAAGGATCTGTTTCATGAAATCATTCTAAAAGCTGCACAATTGAAAGGTTTACTTTGTTTAAAAAATAAATTGGGATTACTAAACCCTGGTTCTTGTGTTGCTGTTAAAATGTCAATTTAAATGTCAGTTTTGCATGGGAAATATTCCACTTGAATGTAGCCTCAGGTGATGAAAGGTGGCATTTACTATGCCAGGGCAAACCATTCAAACTGGATTTTTCTTTGACAGGAGTAGAGGTGGGGAAGAAACACTCCTCTCCAGTCACAAAGCAAAAACTGACATTGGTGAAATAATCACCATGTAGTTAATCTACCATGCCAAAGAAAGAAAGAAAGAAAGAAAAACTCAATCAGGCGAATTAGACCAAAATAAGATGAACGCAGCAACAGAGCCAATGATTTGTCTGTAAACCTCATCTGTCAGGGAACATCCACGTGTGGAAGCAGACATCCATGAATGAATTGTCATGCTGCTTCAGGGAGTTTACATGCAAATAGGATCCTGATATGAATCTAGTTTTGTGGTGCACCCATTATTCTCACCCTCTCTACTGTGGGAAGTGGATGTCACTACACTAGGGATCGGAGAATATGTCAGTTTCTCTTTCTCTCGGTTTCTCATTTTTCTAAAACGGGGGAAATAAGGATGATGTATTTTTGATAAATTGTTATGTTGAAATTCCTAATAAAAGAATATTTTAAAAAAGAATAGTTTCAGGTTAAGAATGGACCTCCAAAACGAATTAAGTTCGTAACTAGAGGTACCACTGTATTTTATTTGCAGAGTCCACCATTGTAGTCCAACTGATCCATGGAAGGACCTTTGTACTAGTTGAGAAAGATGGTAAATGAAAGATAGTAAATGAAAATGCATAGGACAGAGAAAACCAATAGGAACTTTAAAAGGAACCAAACAATACATATGGCTCAGGAACATTTCAAAATTACCATTTGAAATGGTACCCCCCCCATGAACATCAATTTAAAAACTTGTAAGTCTCAAATCTGCCTTACTATATGCTTTCCTCTTCCTCTTTCTCCACAAACACAGCCTTTCTAAGGAGGAATTACATGCAGCAATACCATGTGCTTCATTGCCTTCTTGATTAGTAGGTTTTCTGGGTCACATAAGCTCCCCAAGGCCTCCACCATGTTCTAATATTAAACCATCTGGGATAGACTGAAGAAGATTTCAGGAAGGGCTTTTGCTCTTGCATGGAAAAATCATCACAAAGTAGGTCATTCCTTAAACTGATCTGAGTGAAAATAAGCAGGAGGTTGACTGTGAATTAGGAAAGGGAGATGCAAATAAACAACGTTCTCTGGGCCAGAGAACGTGACATGAATCACACGTGACATATCCGCACCATATATTTAAATCACTCTTATGTCACTTTAACCAGCTTGGCTTGGATTTGAACTCTGATCTCCCAGGTCAGGGGCCAACAATCTAACTAGTACACCATACTTGCATTGGCTAGAAAGCTCCAACCACGGAAAATGGCAGTTCATGTCCTGTGTTATCATCACAGAGTAGCTTTCAAAGGCAAAATTTGCTCTCTACAGAGCAGACGGATATCGACAATATATCCCCATTTACTGCTTTCCTTTTTAGCCTGTTCTAAGGATTTGACACAGCAAATTGACCTTTTATGTTTGATGGTAATGACAGTGTATGAATCACAGAACAGAAAGCTCATCAGAAGCCTAAAAAAAGAGGATCCAATTTACCCTGAATATCTTCCTTAAGATGTACAAGAAGTCGGGGGAAGAGGGGGGAGAATGAGAGTTACAGAGTCTAAATTTTCATTAAAGATCTGCAACCACTTTTTTCTTTTTCTTTTACAGATTGCAAAATGTTCTGGCAAGTTTGCCAATGTACAGCATTCATCATATATTTCCTTGTGATACTTTTGATATTGCAGCTAATTATAGAGGTGTGACAATAAGGATACAGCTGGCGGTTGTGCAATTGTTTTTGGTTCAGTAATGGCAGCCTTGGTAGGGGAATCAGGATGTCCCCACAAATCTGATCCCGCATTGCCATTTACTAAACAACAAACAACAAGACCCACACAATTTCCAGAAGCAATATTGTCATCATATCAGCTTGATGCCCAGAAATCTCCACAATGTGTATACAGAAACAAAAGAAATGCAAGCTGAGTCTCAGCTGTATACCTTTTCTCTTGCACCTCAACAGGCTAAGATTCCATCCCTCCCTGAACTGTTTTTCACACCAAAATTCAACTCCATTGAAAATTCACCACTTCATGACCTTTGCATTTAATGGTCTCTATATGAGACGTTAAAACCTAATTAAAATTACATGGTATTAAATGCTAGCAGCTTAAATTTTATAGATGTTGTTCATAGGGTTGCTGCATTCAGTCCCAATAAACTTATTTGTGTATTTAATTATTAACATAAGAGGCAATAAATGTCCCATTAATTCCACTTTAAAAGCACATGTAAAAAGTTCACTATTATTTGTGCTTACTTTTTGCAAAGGGTGTGCAAGACGTTTGAATGAATCTCAAATCCAGAACTGGAGAGGGACTGCTTTAGATAGATTTGGGATTGTTCAAGCCAAACTAGTCCAGAATCAAAGCAGGGATCTCCAAAGCATTTTGGGCTAGTGTGGAGATTTGTATCATATCATCATCATCATCATTTTTAATTTGTATACCATCTTTCTATCTTACAGTACTCAAGGTGGTTTACAAGCTGAAGAAACAAAAAATGTGCATCTTATAACAATCTAATGCAATACAAAAATGTGATAATAAAACATAACTTTAGGCAACCTACATCAAAAAAGTAACATTCAACAATGATTAGAATAGTATAAAATAATAATATCAACATATAAAAGTTAAACAGAAATCCACTCAATAGTTACAATAAATAATATCTAAACTATAATCAATAAAACTGTGGCAAGCCACAGTATATAAAACAATACAATGCACATTGAGAAGCAGAGGCTAGAGGGTAGAGCACGGCAGGTGGAAAGAGGCCTTGCCTGACGTAGTCTCTCCCCTCACAGTTCTTCCTCCAGGAACAGCTCCATTATGAGGACTCCTAGGGTCGGAGGGTGGGGCAAGGCAGGTAGAAGGAGGCCTTGCTTGATAGAGTCTCTCCCCTCACATGTAAATGTACCAAGTACAAAAGGAAAACCACTGAACTTATTTGTAATTTGTTGAGCCTGCAAATTTCATACAGTTCTGTGAAAAGAAAACAGTTATAGTCTTTTTTAAAAAAGAAATCCATAGTAGTGACTGTGGAGGTTAGTTTTTTGTTGTTGTTATTTTTTGTGGGATTTGTATTCATATCCCTAGACCTCTGAAGCACTGCAGAATGGACCTTGTTATTTTCCAAAGTGGAGTCCAGCCTGAATATTGGTGGTGGTGTACAACCCTACTGTTAACGACTTAAAAAAAAAAATCTTCATAGTTTACACAATTCGTACTTTAAAAATTACTGAGGCTCACATAATACAATTTCTCCTATGTATGCTTCCTTCTTTCCTCTTCTTGACATAGGTCCATACTGATATGTGTCAATATTGGCATCATTTGAGATTTTAAGGTAGGTCTGAGGTGGCTTGGCTTTGGTTTTAGCTGTGTCAGCTCCATGGTGGAAGTCTCCAGTATGTGGCCATGCCAGGCCCTCAGGGGCACTTCCAGACTTCCATACCATCACTCAGGAGTGAAATTTTAAATCACCAAAAAAGTAGGCCCCAGCCCCACAGATTATGAGACTCCACTATTGTTGGCATCCATCTGTCTTGAGAGGCAATGGAGTGCACATCTGGGGGTGAAGTCAAACCACTGCGTTAGCAGCACCTAAGTGACCTCCCCAGAGCAAAAGCCTGGGCAGTCTGTATGGAGGTCCTGGGCTGCCCAGACAACTAGACCCCCACCCTCGGCCTCACTGATGTGGTCCAAAGGAAAACAGAGCGATATGTTTGGCACCAGCTTGGCTGCAGGAGTTGCTGGAAGGAGGCATACAAGACGCCATCCAACCATCTATGGGACTCCACTCCGGATTTGTGTAGGGTTTATTGCTTAGCCTTTTCTTCTCCTGAAGATATCCCACAAGCAAGTGGAGGTTTAGGATCAGAGTTTTTCTTCTCCTAGAGGGGCTACCTTCCTAGGTTGACATTCTCCATCTGCCCTTCACTTTCCTCACCTGGTTTAGCTGGCCAGTCGAAGCTGTTCCTGAAGTGTGGCCACTGTCACATGCTTACAGTTTCTAGGAGCCACAGGTAAGAGCTGAGTGCAGGGTGGGGACCAAAGGTGGACAAACTACCCCAGAAAGAGCACAACGTCTGTCCCACCAGAGGTACTATCCCTTCACTAACACACCATACATTCCACTATTAATCTAGAAATACTTGCCAAGCCAAAAATTAAAGCACATGTAACATGCATTGTCAGGGAACTGCCATCGGAAGGAAGGGAGGTGAAAGGACTCAGACAGGTTGGAAGAGACTCAGCAGCTGAAGAGGGAACCAGCAAGGGGAGAGAAGCTGAACTGAGGGAGGTGAAAGGGCTCAGACAGGTTGGAAGAGACTCAGCAGCTGAAGAGGAAACCAGCAGGGGAGAGAAGCTGAACTGAGGGAAAGGGAGCTGGGGGATGGCTCAGAGATACTTCCAGCGAAAACAGTGGTGAGGTTTCCGGACCTCCTGTAGGGACACCCACTCCTCGCCGGAAACTGTCACGCAGAGAGTCCAGAAGACGTGTTTCCGTTAAGGAGCTTTTATGTTGGAAGCGATTACGAAAGCAACCACTGTCGGAATCTTCTAGTGACTAGAGGAGCCATGTCAGAGGGGCTCCGTCACAGACAGAGGTTTGTGGACTTGAACAAACACTGAGGGAATACGATTTTACGCACAAGCAGCTCATCTTCCCATCACAGCATTCCGACAGTCTCTGAACGCAGCTTGTGCAGGAGAAGGCATAATGAGCAACCCAGCAGGAACCGGAGAAGCAGGGGCTGGAGCGGGTCCAAGCCTGGAAGAAAGGTACCGGGTGTTGGAGGTCCAGCTGGCGCTGCAGACGGCGAGGCTGGAGGAGAGGAGGGCTCAAGATGCAGACAAAAGGGAGAAAGCCACCCAGCTCGCCAGAAAGGTACCAGGATTGGTGCAGAAATTTGGGGGGGAGCCCAAAGACTATCATAGCTTTCGGACAGAAATGCAATATGCCCTCAATCTGCAGTTTGATGATTCCCTGATGAGGAATCACGAGTGGCTTTTGTGATTGGGCATCTTGAAAAGGGGGCGAGAGACTGGGTTAGACCCCTGATGGCAGCGCATAGTGACGTCCTAAAGGACACGATGAAGTTCTTTCGCGCCATGGATCTGATGTTTTCCAGCGATATTGAAAAGGGAGTGGTGCGCAGACAGTTAATGGCTTGCAAACAGGGGAGCCGATCTGTACGTGAGTACTGGACTGAGTTCACCATGCTGATACACAGATTGGGGTGGGACTTATCGGCGGAACCCATTCAAATGCTCTTTGAAGAAGGGCTTTCTTCGGCTGTGAAAGATGAACTTTCCCGGGCGCCCAGGGCGGAGTCTATGGACCAGCTGACCAAATCAGCGCTGGCCATAGGAGCGCGCCAGGAGGCGAGAGCATTGGAGAGGCGGGAAGGGAAAGGGGAACGTTGGAAGGAGTTCCGCATTCCAGACATTCCAGAGCCAA